ACGAAGAGACGGATTTTAGCTCGTCGGAATTGAGCAAGGGAGATGGATAAGACGGGAAAGCAAAGGAGGAGTGCTGGCAGAATTTCTTCACCAGAACCGGATCCCTGTGATATCCAGCATCCTTTTCGCCATCATGGTTTTCTACCCTCCTTCTCTTTCGAATGCATAGACGGTTAGTGTCACAAAGAAACAGGTCACGACTTCACCAGAGATAACATGTCATTATTGACATCCAAGTCATCTCGAAAAGAATGTCCTCTATGAGCCGATGTAGAGACATGGGTCATCTCAAGGCCAGGCATCTGAGCCATTTCTGGCTAGCATTCGAGAATTCAGCTCCTTTGTACATAATCTAGCTCGACGGACGCAGATGGTTTTGCGCGCGACACTTTTCTTCGTCGCTGAGCTGCCAGACCCAGCTTGGCAGGTCATCGGGAGAAGCCACCAACCTATCTTTCTATCACCGCCAACGACGATCCCGACGGTTCCCGGGCCGCTCAAGCGTTTGGACACTTCAGACCGACTCCAGATTGTCTTTTTCTCGAATCGATACCGTCTGAACGATACGAGCATTATTGTCGCCCCCGCTTTGCGCACCGTAAACCTGGATACTCACCCTAACTGACTCTTCGATAGTCGTGACAATTATTCCTTCAAGCTTCCCACGTGACTGCTTCCAACCTGCTTCAGATCAGCGCCCTTTCCGAATTGGCCCTCCAAAACGGCAAATGACTTGAGAAATCGTGGGATACGGGATACCCAGGGTGGCTTCTAGTTTAAATGACCGCTCCTTTCGCTAATTCTCGTCATAGCGCTTTGTAGTAGTACGCTTTTTGGAACAGCATTTTGCTTTCAACGCAGCCATCAAAGCCGTTCTACAGCGCTCTGACATCTTCCCTTGGGGCTCGATGATAGCTGTTGAGCGGCCTGACCAAATCAAGTCGGGCATGGCCGACTTGATTTACAAATACTGTACAGTCATTGCCGTCCAGGGCGCGACTATCAAGGTTTAAGAAGGGAGAGGTTCACTCGAGATCCTCACTGACCTTTGCAAGATGCGTTTCAATCTTTCCCTTCAACTGGTCTCTGCAGCTCTCGCAGCGGCCGCCTCCAATTCTTCACCTCGTATTCAAACTTCTTCTGGAATATATGTCGGGGTAACCGACGTTGTCTCTCAGATTGACTCTTTCAAAGGAATTCGCTATGCTGAGGCTCCGAAACGCTTCTCTCCTGCTCAGTATCCGTCCCAACAGTCTAAAACTGAATTGAATGCTGTCAATTTTGGCAATGATTGTCCTCAGTTTCCTAGCATTCCCGGTGTTGCGGGTGTCAATCTGGGTCCTCCTCTCAGAGCCAACCAGAGCGAAGACTGTCTCTTCCTCAACGTCGGTATCAATCTTTGTTGGATCTACCAAACTCATGCTTCCTTCTTGTGTAGATTTGGCGGCCTTCTGCAAGATCAACTACAGATTCGCTGCCAGTCTTGGTCTACATTCATGTTTGTCACTTTATATCTATGATTCAAGTTTTACTGACAAAGTCTACAGGGCGGAGGATACTTTGCTGGCTCCGGTTCTGAATGGGATGGCACCGGATTCATTCGCCATAGTGTCATCACCAAGAAACCGGTCATATTTATCTCGATAAACTACAGACTCGGAAGCCTGGGCTTCGTACGTCTATTTAAAATCTATTTAAAGACTCCGAGCTCACTTAGATTAATTGTTCTAGCTCGGGAGCGCTCAAATGCCCATTGAAAGTCTCAATCTAGGGTTACAGGATCAGCGTATCGCTTTCAGGTGGATTCAAGAGAATGCCAAAACATTCGGAGGTGACCCAAACCGCATCACCATTATGGGAGAATCTGCTGGTCTGTTCATCATCTCATAGCAAGTCAATTGGCTTATGTTTCTTTCCTAGGCGGAGGAAGTGTTCACATGCATTACTTGTACCCTGATTCAAAGCAAACTTTCCGAGCTGGGATATCTGACTCTGGCACGGCTCTGGTCATCGGCACTCCATCCTGTGACTTCAACGATGGGCCAGGCGGTCCCTACACTCTTCTGGGGAATCTCACAGGCTGTGGAAGTGGTCAAGGATCTTTTCGATGCATGCAAGACCTTCCTTTTGAGGTGATTCGCTTCTCAAACCTGTAGCGAGCTTGTCTGATCCTCTGATTGCTGATCTTTTCAGGCATTCTGGCAAGCTTCGTTGGTGACCTACAGTCCTCCCTCAGGAATACCGCCATACTCGCCTTGTAAAGGTCCTAAAGGTTCACTGATTGAAGAGTATCCAGCCAAGAAAGTCATTGCAGGTGATTTCTTGGATCTTCCTCTTATCACAGGTACAAACTCGAATGAGGGAACTCTGTACGTCGGTCCTCTTCATGTCTCATCGCAACTGATCCACTGATAGGTTAACGTTACTTGCAACTCAAATCCTTGACATTCCTCAACCTCCCATTGAAATCGAAACAGCGATATTCACCGGTTTCGTCGGTGCACAGACTGTGAATGGCAAAAATCTATCCCAGGCGACCATCGGCAACATTACAGCACTGTTTCCTCACATGGAACCTAAGATTTCTAACAGCAGCCTGTACGAAAGAGCTGCTGGATTTCTAACAGATTTTGCTTTCCTTGCTCCGCAGCGGCTCTTCCTCGACGCCACCGTGAAGAAGAAACAGCAAATCTGGGCCTATGACTTTCAGCAACTTCTTCCAGGTGCTCCCGAGTTTCTTGGTGGTGAGATTGGCTAGCTTCTGTTGTTGCGCCCTCGAGCTAATCGTCCGAACTTTAGTTTTCCACTCTAGCGAGCTATACTATCTCGATATTGGGTTTTCTCAAGTTCCGACCGAGAAACTCGCAACGACTTTTCAAGATCTTTACATTGCTTTTGTCAATGAAGCAAATCCTGGCCAGATCTGGCCCAAGTATGATGAGCGAAAGATGGTTCTGCAGTTACTCGACAAGAATGTCACTACGGTCATCGATACCGTCCATGTAGCTCAGACGGGATTCCTCAATTCTGCTAGTATTCTCGCCGAGTTTGGACGCTTTGGCTGATGCACCACATTTCTGAGACTGATTTTGTGATTTCAATATAATACAAATCTTTAGAAACTCTACGAGGCATCTACTCGTGTTTCAATAGTCACTACTTCCCGATGTGCTACTGATGCCGATTTCTTCTCGTCTCCCTTCCATAAACTGAATTGTGATACCAGAAAGCCTAAGAAGACCAAGAATTAGAGGATCAGACTAGCTCGATGCAGATTTGAAAAGTGAATCACCTCGAAAGAAATAGGCGGAGGTGCTGATTGTCACAATGTCACAACCCGCGTCACGGCCCGATGTGACACGCCGAATGTCTACTTACTCGACTCGTTGACGATAATTATGTCTTCACCTCTCAGGCTGGCCGAAGAGCTCCTTCACCGGATTGTCCTTTTTCTAGTTGACGAGGACTATGACTACAAGCCATTTCCTAATTCGATGTATCACTACATCTCCAGCGACATCGTCTCCCTTTCTCTGGTCAGCCAGCAGTTTCGGCGAATCTGTTTCCCTTTCCTCTTCTCTTATGTCAAATGTGAAACCGTGGAAGAGGTGGAAAAACTCGAGAAGGAATGCCTAAGCAAGGCGGCTTTTACTGGTTGCATCAGGTCGGTTTTATCTGTTCTGAAAGGACCTAAAAGCGCGAGCCATACTGATTTCCAGTGTTATAGAATCCTCCAAGCTGATTTTACTCCCTGTGACGCGTCCAGAGCAGTGCTTGTCCGACTTTTGCCACGTCTAAAGTCACTTGTGTGGCTGGAGCTTGGCGAAACAGAGGTTGACGAGGCCATATTGATCGCCATAAACTCGCATGCTACACTCAAAACTGTGATGATGGCACCGGAACATCTTGGCTTCCTTCCCAAGCTCCCAGTCAGCCTCGACAAATTCATGGTTCACCACGTCGAAGACTTTGGCGAGCTCTCGATTGCTGAGGAGCGTGATATGCGAGTCATGTCATCCTGGTTATCGAGTGACACTCTGAGTTGTTGGAAAGCCATTTTCCTACCAGACCTTCGCGAGATATGCTTTGGCGATTACGAATTCTTGGAGGAACCCGATGAGGACGCCGTCGATCAATTCTACGAGTTTGTCGATCGTCACCACAGCCTGACAAGGATCGGCTTTCATACCGAGGACTTCGCCACATCACTTTGGCGCGAGCCGGAACAGCAGAATGATATCGTACAGCCTTTCATTTCAACGTTCATCCAGGCTGCCGAATCACAATCTCTGAATCGAACCTCAGTGGTTATGAGAGAGATAACTCTGTCGTCGATAGGAACCCGCTGGGAAGTAACTGGGCTCGAGCTGACAGTATCTTCGGTGGAAACACTGTCGTTGGCAGGTATCACTTTCCCCAGACTCTCATCTCTGACGCTTTCTCTTTCTTCCTTAATGCATCTGGTAAGTCACCGATTAATGAAATCTCAGTTCGATTTTTAACTTGATTCCAGGAGACCTTCATCAGGTCGATATTGGCCAATTTTCCAAACCTCAGGGTGCTCTGTTTTGATCGAACATGCCGGCTCTTGAACTGCACACCGCTTCTTATTCCGTCATACAAGGAATCGTTGAAAGGATATGAAGATGCTCTTGCCTGGACGCGCTTCCTTGCGTGGCGCATATTGCAAGCTGTACCAACACTGGTCCAAATCTATGCCAGTAGTTTGGGTAGCTTTGACGGTTCGCATGTTTGGTTTTCTGGAGCTGAATACAAGCCATGGAGAAATTCATCAGGGACTATGATCAATATGAAGCTGGCACATTCCGTGAAGAAGTCGCACATGGCCCCGGGCGGCCAGCAATGCAATATTCTAAAGCTCCGGGAATCTGTTGTATTGTAGCAATGTTATTCAACGTTCAACTCGAATTCGTGCTCTGAGTTTTTTGGATCAAGATCCGTGTAATAGAATCCAATTCCACATAGGAACAGCTTCTCCATCCCTGGTAGTATATCGGTTAGTACACGCGCCTGTCATGAAGAAATCGTTTGAAGGTGCGCGCGAAAGCGGGGTTCGACTCCCCGCCAGGGAGCTGATGGAAGCGAGGAAGATTTTTAGATCTGTGTCGAGCACTTGAGACAGTTTCTTGTCGCTGCGAGAGCAACTTCCTGAATTGTTCACCTCGCTAGATAAAGGTTTCTATTTTACCAATGACCCAACCAAGTTCAGCATCAAATGAACAGAGGTAAAGGGTGTAACGTTATTCAGCAAAGAAACATCGTTTATGATTTCGAGTCCTCTCCCAGTAGACTGCTTCTTCCTTTTCAGACTACTGCCTCTGTTCTCACTCATCCCGCCCTCGGCGCCGCCTTTCCGGCGAGATATTGCTCTTGGTTTTCCGCTTCTTCTTCTCCACCTGTTACCTCTCTTTGGAAAAGATGCAAAATAGACCGGTCCGCTAGGGATGGGCACGTCAACGGGCCGGCCGTCACATCAACGGGTCACGACGGGTACGGAAATTTCTGACTTGTCCGTCGACGGGCATTTCTGAAGTTCTGACGGGACGGACGGCCGTCGACGGGGATGGACAATACCTCTATGCGTGTTTGGGGTGACTGTGTTCCTAGAATATGGTCGCAGGCTCGATCCTCTGGTATTGTCTACTTTTTCATTTTTCCTAGTTATCTGTCCAAGTCCTAGTTATGAATGTATCAATGTTCACGAATCGACCGATAGAACTTTCAATCCAGGAGATGAATTGATATACAGTACACTGGCAGAAATCTCGTTAGAATGGAAATCGCATCGGCTCGCCCGTTGGGTTACATTCCTTGCACCCAAAATTGATGCCTTCGTGGATCCTTGAATAAAAATGTTAGCATACCAATAAGCTGGGTTTCAAGGAACTCACTGGCAGGATCTTTCGGAATAAGACTTGGAATACGATCCTTTTCTCGGAGCCGGATTGGGCAGCAGAGGTATAGCCGATCGTCGAGATCTCGCCTGACGAGGGTTAGGAAGCTTGGACCAGTTTGGGTAAGGTAGACCGTCGGAATCTGGACTGTAAAGCGCCGAACAAGTCAACTTGACTGGAACCTGACTCGTCTTCCTGGGTAGATCCTGGAAAGCGGGTGGTGGGATCGGTCTGGGACTGAGTGGAGGAATACTGTTCAAAGATGGTGGTCGTTGGAGAATTCTTCGCGACTTGGAGGGTCCTGTCGAAGGAGACGGCGCAAAAGGCTGGAACTATGAGAATCGATGTAGCAGGAAAATGACCGAGGACATACCGAAGGCTGATTCCAGACTATAGGCATCAATTGTGGCATGAGAGGAACAGGAGCAGCAAAGCGACGAAGTTCAGTTTTATCACTCGCTTCTCGCGACCTCGTCGAACTTGACTTTCGTGACCTGGGAGGTTCCTTCCATCTGAGGTCTCGCTCCAAGGACCTTGCACGATTCATGAGAGCCGACTCTCGCAAAGTCGAATTGCTGAGATGTTTTCTCGACCTATCTGAAGCCGAGTCTGGGTCGCATGATTTTGCGCGACTGGGATGACCATAATCTCGGCGATTTGGAGTCCTTGAAGATCGCCGGGATTCGATGTCTCGTTCGGATGACTTGGCGCGACTAGTAAAACCAGCCGACGGCTGTCTCTGGACTCGGCATCTGCCATTTCTCGAATCATCCATACTGGCCAAGCTTGGCTCCACGAGCGTCTCGTTATCCGACGTCACGGAGCTGTTGAGCGAAGCTACCGGAGATGCTCGACTTTTGGGCAGTGGCGTGGCTCTGGGTTCAAATCGCTTGGGCCAGGTTTGAATTTTGAGTTCGTAAGGAAGCCTGGGGGGGAATGTATCGACAGCTGGATGATGAAGGGATTAGTCGAAGTAGAGAAAATCTCGTGGACCAGCGGATTCAAGAAGATCAGACTTGCCATGTTCTGTTACCTTGCTAGGTCGTCGCGGCTACGATAAATCAATGTACGAAAGGCAAAGACAATTAAAAGACGTACCGACGCGTCGACGCTGCGAGAATCGCGTTGGGGCATGGTCAAATAAATTATCGAGTGAGCTTTCTTCACCGACTGCAGGGAATATGGAATCGCTTTGTGTCGCAATGTGAGCTTTTATAGGCTGGAAGCCCATTGTTTGAATCGTTCGCTCAAAAAGGGCATGATGGTTCAACCATTTCCTTCAAAGGGTCGGACAAAGCAACTAGGTCCGAATGGCCGAACAAAGAGCGAGCCATCAAATCATGTTGGGCAATCGCAATTTTCAGCTTGAAGAGATATGTGGTCTGTCGTCGAGGTAACGAAGAGTATAGAGCTGTTTTACAGACGCAGGTAAGGTGCAAGATCATCGATCATCCCACGCTTGATTTTCAGTCTCCTCGAAATTTTGTCGCCTCTCGCTCGTTTTCTCGTGGTTGTTGAACCCGGAATTCTCAGTCTTTAGCCATTCTATCGGCATTATTTTTCCTCCTTTTCTCTCTGGTTCATCGGTTGGCGGCTGCAGTAAGAAAGAAAAAAAAGGTGTGTTTCTGGCAGTTTCTGGCGGCCCATTGGGTCTTATCATAACCTTGTTTCACGCGTTTCCTGCACTGATATGCGTCCCAGAATTCCCATACCTCTGCACACGCATCAAATAACAGCTCCGACATCATCAGACAAAACGAAATTGGTACTTCAACGGGCACCTAGTATTCAAGCTCTAGATAATAGATATCACAGCGAGATTGAGTTGCCACCGCCTTCGACTCTGCTCAAAAGAAAGCCAGCTCTGCCCCGACTCCAACATTCCTCGAACGAGCCAAACAGACTTCATCATCGTCCTGTAAGCGAAAATCTACATCGGAAGTCGACGAGCCACCAGCTAAAAGGTCAAGGACGTTAGTCTTTCCTGCTACTTACAACAGCGGCATCAAGGCCATTCGAGGCTCCACAGCGGTCAAAAAGGTACCAAACTTTTAGTTCTCCTGGTACCTAGATTTTCTTGCAGCCCTTAATCCAACCTTAATCCTCGAGAGTTCAATTCCCGAATCCCCGCCGGCTCAAGTCCCTTCGGGTCCCTTTCGCCAAGACCACTAGACTGCCTAGAGTCATCATGGACGAGTACGATCTTGTGGAAGACAACTCATCGCGTCCGAGCCTCGAGGACAAGCCCCAGAAGCCAAACTCTGCCACTTTCAGCACAAATTCATCAAGCGAAAGGAGACCTCGCCTAATATGACCCCAATTGAGGCTGCCACCGTGCGTCCATCTTGCCAACGCCATTCTTCTTCGCTGACTCGATTCAGTTCAAGGATGAATACTTTCTCGCCTTCAACGCTAAACGAGACGAAGAGGAGGCTCGACGCAAACATCTCCTGCTGGAATCCCTGACGGCCAAATGTCATTCTACGGCAGTATTTCATTCCTACAACACTCGAAGTGACTTGATAGTCTGAATCCAAAGTTTGGTGCCCTGCAGCTAACGTAATACTCAGAGTTCTCAGGATGATTTGCAATCAGTACTTACGTGATAGGATTCTGTCAAAGTCTCGAGTAAGCATGCTAACGTTTTGATTTGGTACGAGAATTACAAAGTCGATGAAAAGTTGATGAGCATTGTCATGAAGGTACCGCCTTTGTCAGTTCAGACCTTGCTCAACCCGGCAGCTCCGGAGCAAAATCATCCGCTGTGAAGTTTGAACCGATACCCCTTGGGCCAAGAGTGGCCTTGAGAGTGTCGTTGACTCGTCCGAAATTGCAACTGTCAATTCTGAGGGCACAGCTCCCATTGTCATCGCATCTGCGGCAGCGGTCAGTCAGGGCTTTTACACAGCAAGAATAAGGAAGAGAACAAACAAAGTGCAAGAAAATGCTTACCCAGCTACCCAGTTGTTTCTTCTGGCACAAGTCACTTGAAACAAGGTCTGATCCGAAGTATCAGCTCTGCCGCAAGAGTGTGGCGCAGGTCGCTGCCTAAATGGGAAAAAAGATTGTGTAGTACTAGGCACCGAATGGATAGAATACCGCAGGCAAGTCTGCAGAATCAGTGTCTCGGTCAGGACATAGCTGTGTATTTTCTACCTATCTGTATCTTCAAAATGCTCGCGAAAGCTCAGGCAGGCTCAGGCTTAGCAGAGGGCTTACATCAGACTTCGATCATGTTGTCCCCGGTAAGTTCCGGTTCAATCGGTTTCAGATCATTTCGTGAACCATGGAGACTGACCGGCTACACTTCGTTCAGCAAGGTGACTGGCTCCTCCGTATCAGCGACAATGGTCTCTCCGAATGTATAATTCATCTAGATGATTCAGCAAATTACTCACCAAGATTTACGCTAGGAAGTTTGCATCACTCAGCTACGGATATATGAGTACAGCTCAATCCGCGATGGGTATAAAACCCAGAACACATATAGGACTCTTGTTCATATTCAATCCATACTCATTCTCTATGTTGGACTCGTTCAAGCTCGCAAACATCGGAAATCTCGAGGGCCTCGTCGCGATTGTGACAGGTGGCGGGACTGGAATGTGAGACTATAACTCATGTCTTGTTCCATAACTCATATTGTTCATAAAGTGGTCTGATGATCGCGAAAGGATTTGCTGCCAACGGCGCGACCAAAGTATATATCACTGGTAGACGACTCGAAGTACTGCAGAAGGTGTCTGAGGAGAGTGGTGGTGTCTTGATCCCGTGAGTCCCTTTGTCCTTCAAGTATTTGAAACTGACCTCATCGTGAAGCTTGCTGATGGACGTTAACGACAAAGAATCTATCGCGAGGGCCATTTCTTTGATCGAGATGAACGAAGGCAAACTCGACATCCTTGTTAACAAGTGAGTTTCCCTGACCGAATCCAGTACATACCTCTTACGCCCAGCGTTAGTGCTGGCGTTATAGGACCAAGATCAATTCTTGATGAAGAAATGCCATCAGGAAAGATTTACGGGGACTTCCTGTTCAACAAAGAGACGTACCAAGAATGGCAGGATGTCCTCTCGACGAACACCATTGGGCCATTCTTTGTCACCACGGGATTCCTCGGACTCCTTGAGAAAGGTGCTCAGTCCAGGCCTGGTCAAACATCCAGCGTCATCAATAT